GGAACGGAAAGTTTTCCTACTCGAGTCTTGGAAGTAACCTTTCCAGCACTAGTAGTGTGTTAGAGCTTTGTCTCTCTCGCTGTGAATTACACCTTGTTAGTCATGTGGGACTTCTTTTTGTTTTTCGTCTGTAAGTGGATAAATGCAAAGGGAAAACTGAGACATGTATTAAGAGTATGATCCTCCTCCCATTGTTCTCAGTGATGAAAACCTTTCAAAACATACGGACAGCTAGGCCATCAGAAAGGATCCTAACTATTAAAGAATCAGAGTGGTCTTGGTGTGTCTCCTGGAGTGATGATGCTAGCTAGGCTACTATGTTCATCCTTAACTTGCACAATCATGTAACTGGATAGGCATTTATTAAGACACCTTTTATCTCTGATGCCTAGTGAGGATAGGGATGCATGTTTTGGATGTGTTTAGCTTCATGCTTTGGAGCTGCGTATTTTTCATATTAACTGTTACTCACATGGCTTTTGGTACTATGGGTGCTCTTAACATCTCATTAATTTTCCATCTGTTGTAGAACTCATTTCGCCTATGATATATATATGTATATAGTATTATCTTAAAAAAGTTTTATATTTTCCGAATCCCAGTGATTCAGACTTCCCTTATGATGTTTCTGTTGTTTTACCAAAACTGGATTTAACTCTGTCTTGATCTTCATTTTTTTTTCTAGTCTTGGTGATCCTAATCCAGTTTGGGACTAAGGCTAGTATTCAGAAAACCGTTGATGAATATAGTCATTTTTGGATACTTATTGCAAGAGGATAATTTTGGTAAAAAGTGTCTGTAGTCTTTCTAAAATAACTTAATTAAGTTCATGTGCTTTTATAATACAGAAGAGCTGTTTTGAATCCTGTGTTTGTTTTGACCACAGCAGATTGTTCCTTCCATATAATCCACGAATGGTTCTTACTTCATGTATTTAGATGTAAAAATCAGATCATTAATCAATGAAGTAGCTGTAATTGCCTGTGAACTTTTTCTTTCAGTGACGTTCCTCTTCTGGATTAGGTATGAAAACATGGAAAGGATGCTTAAAAGACAAATATCCTTCATTTTCCTCCTGCACTTTTTATTGGTATACTCAGAGTGGATGGATTGTTTATTAATGAAAGCAGTTTTGGGTAATTCAGTGACCTGATCTTGGCACTATTGAAGGCAGTGACATTTTGCCATTAACTTTAATGGCAGCAGAGTTGAAACTCTTCTTTGAGATTTCAAAAGTAGTTAAATTTAATATTGTTATGGGCTGGATATTTTACTATCATTTGACTGGCTCCTTCAATTTCTTGCACTTCTGTGTCTAAGTGGTGGTGGTTGGTTGAGTCTGTGAATGCATGCCTTATAGTTGGGTTTTGTTTATTCAGTGAGTAAATGTTGCCCCTATCGAAGCGAAGCCCTTGCCAAAGGTCATCCGCTAGCTACAGTTACAGATCTTCGTGGGTAGTAAAATCTCAGTCCCGTGAGAAATTCTTCCACCTTTTTATCCCAGTATTATGTACAGTCAGTTTACACTGCTCAGAAAAATACAACAGTCTCTTCAGTAACTTACTAAAAACATTTTGTGTTTTCATTCACTGGTTTTGTATGTGTCGTGGTTTAACCCCAGCCAGCAGCTAAGCACCACACAGCTACTTGCTCACTCTCCCCTGGCGGGATGTGGGAGATAATTAGAAGAGTGAAAGTGAGAAAACTTGTGAGTTGAGATAAAGACAGTTTAATAGGTAAAGCAAAAGCTGTGCACAGAAGCAAAGCAAAACAAGGAATTCATTCCCCACTTCCCACTGGCAGGCAGGTGTTCAGCCATCTCCAGGAAAGCAGGATTCCATCATGCGTAATGGTCACTTGGGAAGACAAACGCCATCACTCCGAATATCCCCCCTTCCTCCTTCTTCCCCCAGCTTTATATGCTGAGCATGATGTCATATGGTATCCTTGTGGTCAGTTGGGGTCAGCTGTCCTGTCCTGGCTGTGTCCCCTCCCAACTCCTTGTGCACCCCCAGCCTACTCACTGGTGGGGTGGGGTGAGGAGCAGAAAAGGCCTTGGCTCTGTGTAAGCCCTGCTCAGCGGTAATGAGAACATGCCTGTGTCAACAACACTGTTTTCAGCACAAATCCAAACCACAGCCCCACACTAACTCCTATGAAGAAAATTAACTCTGTTCTAGCCACAACTGGCACAATGTGCAAGGAAACAGCTATTACAGAATTATGTAAGAAACTATTTCTTCCCTTATTCATTGTAGGAAGTTAGTTGGCATGGAAAAAATCCTCATTACAAAATATCCTGAAGAAGGCTGGCAGCGATTGAGTTGTCTCTTATGCATGGAAATTTTACATAGTGTGCTTTTGTGTAGCACTTTAAAAATGTAATTTAAGATTAAGATTCTGTAGTTTTGGTGCTAAGAGTTGACCTTTCATGTTGCATGGAATAGTTAGTTAATCCAGTGGCCTAACCCTTGTGTACATGGTCTGTGTCTAAAACACAAGTACACATATAAGACACTGCTTTGATGTGTAGCATCTGCAGATGACACAGCAGAGAAATGGAGATGGAAGATATGGTAGGGATTATTTTACTCCTCACCTTTGTAGCTTCTCTGTGGCACGAGAGAGACGTGGATATCCATCTCTTAATACCCACATTAAAAAAAAGCCCATATGCTTGCTTACTTGTCTTCAGTTTATGGTGAGTTGTCATCAGTGCTGAATTAAAGCACACAGGTAAAGATCCAGAAGTACATCATGCTGCTGCTGCTCTAATTTTGCCAGATGCGTGCATTACTTGGGAACAACTGTATTAAAGCCTCCAGACTCACCAGCTCCTCTCCCACAGAAACTTCAGAATCAAACACCATTTTGCCAATACAGCTCATTGTTTTTAATGCCTTATCTTGTATGTGGGCTCCCTCCCCTAGGTCCAATGGCATACAAAACAGATCACAAATGAATTAGAAATTCCAAAGTGACTGACTTGCTGGTGCAGTGGTTTAACTGGTTGAATACCTCAGTGTCGGATAGTTGGTCAGATATTAATGTCTTGCTGATGGAAAATATCGGAACCCATGAGAACCAAATACTAACCTGTGTGGGTGTGTATGTGGTCTAAGTCTTCTAGTAAGGCTGTTGATTAAAGAAATAGCATCTGTCTGAATGGTAAAACTTTAATATTTATATTGTTATATTGCAGGAAAAATCTGTTTTTCTGTTGTGAATTTTAGCTTTATATCTGTCGCTTTTGGAGTACTTTCACTTATTCCCCTCTGACTTTTTTTGGTTGAGTTTGGGTACGGGCTGATAGGATCATCATCAGCAGTTTATACTGCTGCTTAGTTTTCAAGAGAACATTTAAATGGAATGGTAGTTAAATGATCTTGGGAGTCTGGCTTTCTACACAGATCAGTAAATGACAGTTGGTCACTTTTTTAGTTTCTTTTTTCCCTTTATAGAAATAGAAAATTATAATTGTAAAATACAGGGGCTTAGGAAAAGTGCCAGTGACTTTTTAAAAACCTTTCAAATAACCAGCTTTTATATTACAACACTAACATGTGCTTAAAATAATATTTCCTGTGTTCTTACCTCAGAAGATAAGATTTTTATCTGTTCACATACCTTGCTTCAATTTCGACCATTATGCATGTTCTGCGTAACGTCTGTTACTCATGGCTGTGTTACAGTGGTTTTTATTGGGGCAGATTCTTTAATGTATTACTAACTGAAAAGAAAAGACAAAAGCATAACAACGTAACAGATTCTTCTGATGACTTGTTACTCAGTCATGTCTTTCCAGTGAAAGTCTTGGACAGTTACTTCACTTTAAAATGATTTTTAATAGCTAACTTATCCCATCCTATGCAATCTCTTTTTGAACAGTGTTCTCTGATCCCCAGGAGGTTTCTGCTGGATGATGTGAGGTGATGGTGTTTCTATGGACTGTAGCCTTACACTTTCTAGTCCTACGATCTATGTGCACAGGCAGTAAAGAAATGAGCAGTGTGGGAAGGCCTTTGCATCGCTTCTGTTTTATTTGTCTACAGTTAATGCCCAGAGTTGCAAAATTTGTGTTCATCCTTCGGAGTTCAGCATGTAGGTCCTAGCTTCCCTATCATATAGACCTTATTACAAGTCCTTCATCTCTCCAACCCATAAGAATTTATTGGCTTTTTTTTTTTTTTCATTACTGCTGTGTAGTTGGTAGTGGGAAATACTTGCCAGACTGTAAGACTGTCAGTCTTATTGAATGAAAATGAGTTGATTTGCACAGCTATAATATACTTTGGTGTCAAAGCACTACCTTGTCAGTGGAGTGTAGGTTCTTTCTCTTTTTCCTTTTTTCCTGTTACAATATTTCTGAAAGCTGACAGAGACTCTGTCAAAAGGTTTCAAGGCAAAAAGGTATAATTTGTTTGGAATGTAATGAATAATTATGCAGGCAAAAATTGTACAACCATACTGAGAGATTTGCTTAGGAGAAGAGACAACAGCTTGTTTTGTGGGCTTTACATGGCACTGTGCTTCATTTCAAAAAGGCTTGCTCTGGTAAAAATTGGGTAACCGATACAGTTATTTAGGACATCAGTACATTAGCTTTAAAGCGTACATCTCAGGCTATCAGCAGGCCTGGTTCAGTTACTAATATGCAGAAAGTGGTTTACTGAGGCTGAGAGGAAAGCATGTTACGAGGTGGCTTTCTTCAGATGCTGGGTGGAAGGTTGATAAGTGCAGTGCAGCCAGTATATGTGTGTACCAGTAGAAAATTATAACAAAACCAGAAGAGCGATCGTGGAAGTTTACGACTGAATGACTTTTATTTTCCGGTTCATGATGAAAATCTTTTGGAGGTTGGTCACAGAAGCCTGACTCTGGCTTGCCTTACTCATATAGTCCCACTGAAGTCAATTGGTCGTCTTGGGTGTGCGGAGAGAGCAAAGGCTTTTATTGATAAAAGGCAGCAGTGCCTGCAAATGATCATTTCTGTATCCTAGGTCTGTCCACCTGGTCCCAGCATTCCAGATCTCGACATCGGAGGAGTTCGTGTTCCAAACATGAAGATCGAAAACCTTCTGAGGTATTTGTGGAATTTGATTTGCATTTTGTAACATCTATCAAATACGAAGCTGTACACATGTTCTGGTAGTGGATCCATGTCTTCTGATGTACATTTTCGTTTCTTTTTACTACATTTTAGCTGGCATCTGTCTGCCATTCCCCCCCCACCCCCCCCACCCCTGTTTTTTTATTTGCCAGGAGATTAGGGAGTTCAGTTGGTGGCACAGCCACTGCCAGCACCAGTTTCTATCTGTGAATTTTGTTACAGTCTGACACCCATTCAACATAGCTGTGGATTCTGTCTTCTAGCATTTTAGACATCAGGGTTTCTTTGTAGCTTGATTTGTGAACAGTGGAAAATTTACATTAGGTGCATTTATTTCATAGTTGGTATTGGGTCTTGGTATGTGATCTTTGTTAAAGTGCTTGTCAGACTAGAAATCTGCTTCCTGACAGTTCTGTCTTGCATAGTGCTTTGAGGAAATCCTACCAAGGGAGATATAAATCTTTGAACTTTTCAAGATGGATCAACTGTTAGTAACACATAAATGCGATCCAGTTCTTTGGAAATAGTCTTGCTGAATCTCCCTGTCTTCAGGCAAATAGTACACTGCGGGCTTTGTAGAGGCTGCAAAAAAGCATTAGCTTTGGGATATGGAATTTCTTCATTTAACGTATTGCCCAATACGTGTATTTCTGATGCATTAGTGAGCGATTGATGTTGAGAAAATACAGGCTTTATTAATCTCCCCGATGACAGCATACCTCAGTCCCAGAGAAGAATTTTCACAAGAATCACATTCATTGTTCAGTGTGAACTACACCTAGTACTGGTGTTTTCCAGTCTTCTGTTTTGATTGTTGGCTCTTAAAGACCTTTTTTTGGTGAATGTGGAGACTCCTGGTGAATTTATTCTTGCTGGTGTTAGGCTTGCTTTCTTTAGCTATCTTTTGTACATTCCTTAGAAGTAGCCCCTTAGACCCAGTTTTGAGAATTATCTCATGAAGAACTACCTGTCAAGGCTATCAAGAAATAATCTGAGATAATTATGAATCTTGCTGTTGTTTTCTCTGTGCTTCTGATTTCTCCTTTCTCTTTCCTTGCATTTGTTGTCAGAATCTTTGCAGTTTTGTGCTGTTTTGTCAGCCTGGATGGATTTCTCATATACTTCCCTTTAGCTTTGTTCCACAGGCTTTTCCCCCCTCTCCCTCCATTTGCATTGTCTCTGCTCACCACAGCACGCTATTCTGATGATAAGTGTGCTGGCAGAAAAGTGACACTTGCTAAACTCCCCGGGTGAAATCCTGGTCTCATTGAAGTTGATGGCAGAATTCCCATTGACTTCAGCGTGGCCAGGGTTTCACCCTTTAGCTTTGAAGTGTTCGGTGCTTCTGAAAGCCAGCACTTCTGTAAGCTCTGCTTTGCTCCAGGCAGTCTGATTGCATCAGAAATTAGAGCAGAAAGAATGGTGTCACAGGGCCACTGGCCTGGGAAGGAGTTTCTTGACTGTCAGGTGCTGCATTAGCTTTGCTTTTGAGGGAGTTTTGCGACAGATTTGCCTGAGAGCCTGAGTTATTTTGGCTCTCAAATTGAGCAAGTTTTGTGTCTCATTGTATATTTTTAGTCGTCTTTTCATTTGCCATTTGATTGCTTTAATTCAAATTGCTTCGAAGTGCAGGATCCCCTGGCCAGCTGTGCTTGTTTGTTTTGTGAGCCAGTTTGCTTTGTGGCTTATTTTTCACTTCTTGATTGGAGCCTCCCAGGACTTGTAATTTGATTGTTTAAAACATTTCACTATATTTCATTACCTGCATTCACCCTTTCCTTCACGTGGTTATATTATTCTTTATTTTTAAACGTCGGCAGTTTTTCCAAACATGTCAAGACAAGCGTTAAGAAAAACATCATGATTTTATGCTATTTTTATGAGAAAACCAGAGCGGAAACGGAAGCATACTGAGGAGACAGAAGTGGGATAGTACGTGTGTGTTGGGTGGAGAGGTTTCAAGATGTGCAGTATGGCAAGGCGAATCACATTTTGAGATATTCTCAGAAGTATAATTAACCATCAGGTTCACTGTTCCCTAAAATACTTCCCAAAAAATTGTGGGGAATCTATTGAGATTTCAGGTGTGTGAATAGTGTATGACAGAAATGGCTGTCCTGGGGAGGCCTGCCTAATTAGCGGTCTGTATAGATCTGGTTCTTCCTCAGCCATGTGCAGGAGTTGGCTGGAGCTAATGTAAACCAGCCAGTGTTGCCGTTGGTATGGGACTGGGTAGGAAACTGGGAGGCCGTGCCACTTTGCCCCACGAGCAGCCCCATGCAAGGATCTAGGAGCACTGCCCTGAAAATCTTTTCCTTTGTAATTCTGCAACGTGGGGCTGGGTGGATGTTGACTCTCTACCACAAACTATGATGTGTGCATGGGAACTTTTCTTAAGATGTTATCTACCTTTTTCTTGTCCTGGTGGTGCTTATTTTCTGTCACCTGGTTGCTTTTTACCCCTTTTCTTTGAATGTGGCATTGAGTCGTTAAAAATTAGTGGTTGTGGAGGTGAGGAGTGCTGAGTGCAGTTGCTGTAGTTTACAGCAGCCTTGCCTTACAGGGAGAGTGGGGCGGGGAGGGCTGGAGTAGGTGTGAACAAGCACAGGCTTGTAGTTCTGATGCCTGCGATAGCACCCTTTGCTTTCTGCAGCGCTGACAGGCAGTGGCAAACTAGGCTGAAGCTGTCGCAACAGTACCGCAGCATGCCTGCTACAAGGGTGAATTTCTTTTTATTTCATTCTGTGGCTTGTTGAAGGCAGCATTGCTGCTTGTTTATGGCTGCTAAGCCAAAAGTAGCCAGACGTCCAGCTTGTTATAGAGATGGATGCCTTTGCAAAAGCAAAGTAAAATTACAGCTATGATGCAGAGGTGTCTGTAGCTGATGGAATAACACGCACCTGTGCTGAACTGCCACCTGAATTCCAGTTTGGGTCTTATTTGATCTTTTGGGTTATTATTTTAAATACTTGCACAAAGAGTCATCTCCTTAGAATTTCCTCTTGTGGGTGGTCATGGTAGGGTCACGCCTTGATTTCTACCACAGGGAATTTCTAGAATGTCTTTGGATTACTCAGAGCTCCAATAATTAAAAAAAAAAAAAAGCTTGAAGTAAAAATGAGTCTCCCTTGTGCTGCTGTTTTAAGACACAAAGCTCCTGCAGCTTTTATCGCAGCTAAAACGGAGGTAAAAGTGGGTAGCACCTTTTAGCATCATATCTCCAGTGCAGGGGGAGCGCCAGAACTTGTCGTGGAGTTAGCTGGAAGTCATTCTGTCAGTATTTGCACCTTCAGCCACCCCTTTCCCTGCAATGAAGCTAAACTTCTGTCCTGCAGTGGGCTGGGTTAGTTCACTGTTGATATAGTGACCTTGTTACACACTGTGCTCCATGGTTACCCTGAAGCTGTGAATCATAGAGTGTAAATATCAAATGTCAGTGTCTGTATTTTTCTCTCTTGGTCACTCTCTTTGCAGGTGTTCAGAACGGACCTGATCACTGCCATGAAGTTACATGACTCCTTCCAGCTGAACCCTGATGAATACTATGTGCTGGCAGACCCCTGGAGGCAGGAGTGGGAAAAGGGAGTTCAGGTGCCAGTTAGCCCAGGGACCATCCCAGAACCAGTAGCCAGGTATAGTTTGGAGGAATGTAAACAAATTCACATACATTTATGCTAGCAGCTTATGTCTACTTTGCCTTGGCTTCTTGAGCTTTATTCCACAGTGTCTAGCTAGAAAGGTCTTGGTTCTCAGAGACGAAGAGCAACCTGCCTCAGCTTTTTGAATGGTTGGAGAGGTCAAGAGTCAGGCCTGTTCTGCCTGCGTGTTGAAATATGAATGTCAGAGAATCATTTTTAGCGTTATGTTAGGATGGAGTGTGATGACAGAACCTTAAAAATAGCTTCTGATATAAGCCCAGATTTGACCTCACTCAGTATTGCTGGGAGAGCCCTTGTCTGATGCTTCTTGTGCTTAGTTCTGAGCCATAGGTTCCTTTCAAGGAACAGTTAGACAAGCCAGATTTAAGGGCTAGAGAAAATACAGCGTTTATTTGGTTTCACTTTGGTTTTTTGGTTGTTTCATTTACTAACTTAGGAAATTGTTTGTTGTACAACATTTCAGCTGTTTTAAGAACCATCCAGATGTGCATGTAACTAAATACATTAATGTGAGGTTTCTTATCCAAGAAACCCTTATTTTCTTTACCTTGTTAGTTACACTTCTATACTATTTTCTGTTTCAAATTAAACAGTACAGTTGTAAGGGCAGGAGTGTGCTGCAGCCTGTCTTATCTATTTTATGCTTAGTTGGGATTGGAGTTGGAGGAGGTGAGAAGAACAAGGATTATTGCCATTTAATCATACTAGGTCTCTTTGAGTAAGACCAGGCTGGCCCATAAGGCATTACCAAATGACCCACCAGTGCTGGTGAGGCCAGAACAGCCCAAGCTGTGATACACAGCAGAAGATTCTGGGTGACGCTACACTGCTGCTGTCAGGTCTCCATCTGCCAGTGTTAACCTTCCAGTAGGGGCACTGCAGGAATGTTTGTTAGCACTTTTAGGTTCTCTGCAGCAACTTGTAGACCGCTGCACAGCCCTGCTAGGTCTGTACAATGAGGAACTTACTTGCACATCAGGTAACCCTTTCCTTCCTTCTCCTTCTGAAGGATTGGACCTGGAGCTTCAAGGAGAACTCGGCATTTTCCACTCTGCTGTGCAGTTTAGAACATGGGAGCATACTGTTTCCCTGCAGTGCTCGTAGTCTGCTCCACACTGATCTCACCCAGTCCCTGCATAAATGCACACATGTTGTACATGTGTGTTCATATTGTCTTCTCCTCACTGCTTTCTCTGTCAAGCATCTGCCAAGGCTGCAGGAGGGCCAGGAGACCCGTGGACTTTAGCAGAGGGAGACCTTCCAGGGGATCCCCAGCCTGTAGCTTTCAGGGAGGTGGTTTGGTGGCTATATCAGATCCAGGTGCTCACTTAGGAGAGAGCTTTTCTCTGCCAATGGTCAACAGAGGTGTTCCTCCCAACTTAACATGTGTTATTAAAGGAGATAGGGAACGAAG